TGTTTGTTTTGGAGCTTATGTTGGTTTTTTTTCCCCTCATCCTTGCTTTCATTTTTTTTTAAGAGCTTATGTTGGTTTTTGAAGTCCCAGTTGTCTTTCTTGCAATCCTGTGAAACAATTTCTAAAGCAAGAAATTGGAAAAACAAAGGAGAAAGATGCAGAGTAAAGAGCAGCATGCCTGGATCATCTAGGGACAATGATAGAAATTCTGATTTGAATGTGGAAATTGAAGATTGAAAAGTTGAAGAGAGCTGCAGCTAAGATCGGTAATATGATTTCCTAAAATGGTCGTGCTGTGCGTCCCTTGTATAGTCTTGTATATTATCGGTATTGTATGTCCAACACACTGGCATGCCAAGAAGTTAGATCAATCTCATCCTCTTGGAGATCTTCGACATCACAGGTGCCAGTCTTCAAAAGATTGCATTCATTCCACATGATATCAAGAAATAGCTAAAGTCACTCAATTTTGCAAATGCTTCTGGGCCCAGGCAACATTCCAGCAAAAGTACTGAAGACTTGCAAGAATTATAGATTAATTATGGTGGGCGACTTTAATTATGCGAACATATACTGAAATGGTAGTAGCGAAGAGGGCACAGAAGAACAAGAATTCCAAGGACATGTTCAGGTTAATTTTCGAAAGTTGTCTGGTTTCAGGCCAGTCAGAAAGGATGCACGTCTAGACCTGATCCTTGGGAATTAGGTGGGCCAAGTGGATCAGTATCAATAGGAGAACAGTTAGGGGATAGTGATCATTATATCATGAGATTTTAGTTGTGGAAAAGGATATATAATCACTCAAAATAAGATTGTTAGTGGTTGGGGGAGGGGGGGGGAAGCAACTTCAATAGGATAAAATGGGATCTGACCCAGTTAGATTGGAATCATAGTGTTGCAGGATCTTGGAAGGATGAGATACTTCAAGTGACTTTACAGCATTCTTAAGATCAGGATTTACTAGCATTTGGAGAAGAATGGACCTGTTAGGGATAGTCAGCATGATTTTATGTGGAAGAGGTCTTGTCTCACAGACTTGATTGAGTTCTTTTTGAGAAAGTAACAAAGATAATTGATTAGTGTTGGAGTGGAATGACTAAATGATTCACTTCTCACCCAGGAGTTCACTTCCAGCATCAACAAGTTTATTGATATTACATTGGTAGGAGAAAACCCTCTGAAACTTCAAAGAACTCTTCACTGAACAAAGGAAAGCATATATTTTATACATTTGTTTCATCCTGCCTTTAACACTTACAAACCAATCATATTATTAATTACATTTCCAATTAAGCTAATTATATAACTGAACAGCTAGAGATGGATGGCTTGTGTTCAAAGCCCGGCCCTCTGTGGTCTCTATGATGTTTCCCTGACACTCTGATTTCCCTTCTTGGCACTTTTCACAATGGATACTGTATTCAAGTACATTCCTGCCCAGACATTTGCTGGCTTCACCATGTTAACTGTCAATTAATTGGCTACTTGCCTGTCGCTTAAGGACCTTTTTAAATTCCTTATTAACCTCAATACAGGAAATACAAAATAATATTGATTTTTACTAATTGTTATATCATTTCTAACAAAGTTATGTGGTTACACCTAATGTTAATGTCACCCCTATCTTTAACCATGTGTGTCTTACAATGTATTCATTCACCCCACATTGCAATGTCTGCTAGTTTCTGAACCTATGATTCATTTCTCCTTGTAAAGATATGGGGGCTGCTTTAACTGACTGAGACTGGTTTGCTCTCATAATTTTATTTGAATCATTGCCTCTAATGCTTTTAGTGATTTTTTTTTTGTACGTAGGTGAATCTGTAACTATTTCAGAATCTGTATCTATGATTATTTGAAGGATCTTAACTAAACCTACTATTAGTATTGCAGCAGATTGATTGATTAAATAATTCAAGAGAAATTCACTAATTAAATATCGTGTGAAATGCTCTTATCTATGTCTTTTGCATATTCTATCTCAGTTCTGTTGTTTTTCTTGTGAAGACTACATTAATCAAATATTTTCCCAAGCTCTCTTACTACTGTCAGCTGTGTCCTGCTGCATGGTAACCATCGGCTATTTTGTGCTTTTCAGTCATGGGCGGTCCTCACAATTAGTATAGGGCAGTGGATATTGTTCATAAGGACCTTGCTAAAGCATTTGCTGAGACTCCTTGTGGTAGGCTGGTCCAGAAGATTAAGTCATTTGGCATCCCTGAGTTGGCAAATTGTTTGCAAAATTGGCTTGGTCATAGAAAGCAGAGTGTAGTTATAGAGAGGTAGCTTTATGAATGAAACTCTGTGACCCTTGGTGTTCTGCAAGGATCTCTGTTGTTGTAGTATATAAAAATGATTCGGATTAGTAAGTTTGCAGACAATACGAAAATTGGTGGAGTTGTGGATAGTGAGGAAGGTTATCAAAGGACAGTTGGGTGGAGAAATGGCAGATGGAGTCTAATCTAGATAAGTAAGAGGTGATGCATTTGGGAGGTCAAATGCTGGAGGAAATTATACAGTAAATGGCTGGACCCTTAGGAGCATTATGTCCGTAACTCCTTGAAAGTGGCAGCACAAGTGGATAATGTGGTAAAGAAGGTGTGCAGCATGCTTGCCTTCATTGGTTGGGACTTTGAGTATAAAAGTCAACAAGTCATCTTTCAGTTGTATAAATCTTTAGACTATGTTTGCAATATTGCATACAGTTCTAGCTGCCACACAACGAAAAGGATGTGGAGGCTTTGGAGAGGATGCAAAACAGGTTTACCAGGATGTTGCCTATATTGGAGTAAACTACCTATAAGGAGATATTGGACGAACTTCGATTGTTTTCTGTAGAGATTCGGAGGCTAATGGGCTACCTAATAGATGTATATAAAATTGTGAGATGCATGGATAGGGTGGATGATCAGAGTCTTTCTCCCAGCCCCTGTAGCCTGTTCCACTATTTGATATGATAATGGCTAATCTTATCTCCACCTCAACTGTACATTCTTATCTCCATAACCGTTAAACCCATTACTAATTTAAAAATCTTCTCCTTAAATTTACTCAATTTCCTAGCATCCACCGCATTCTGGGGTTGTGAATTCTACAGATCCTCAATCCCTTGAGAGAAGTGCTTTTTACTCATCTCTGTTTTAAATCTGCTGCCCCTTATTCTAAAACAGTGACCACTCATTCTAGATTGCCCCAAATGAGGAAACATCCTTTCCATGTCTACTTTGTCAATTCCCTTTAGCATCTTATATCCATTAATTAGATCCCCTCTCATTCTTCTAAACTCTAGAGAGTGTTGGCCTAAACTGCGCAATCTGGCTTCCTTAGACAAACCCCTCATCTCTGGAATCCATCTAGTGAACCTCTTCTCTTATACTCTATTCCTTTAGCAATAAATGCCAGAATTCCATTTGTTTTCCTTACTCCATGCTGTACCTGCATATTTAACAACGCACAAAGAACTGCAGATGATGGAAGTCTAAAACAAAAACAGAAAGTGCTGGACAAACTCTGATGTGGCAGCATCTGTGGAGTGAAAGCAGAGTCAACGTTTTGGGTTCAGTGACCCTTCTTCGGAATTGATTGTAGCTAGGAAAGGGTGGTATATGTGCAAGATAGCCATTCTGCCATTCTTCATTGCAGTTTACTGTCCCACCTACTTTAGTGTAATCTGCAAATTTGGCTATCGTGCTTTCTATTCCTGGATCCAAATCATTAATACAAATTATAAATAGCTGGAGCCCAAGGGCTGAAATCTGTGGTACCAGACTAATTACATTGTGCCAGCCAGGAAAAGACCCATTTATCCTGATTCTTTGCTTTCTGTTGGTTAGTCAGTCCTCTATCCAAGCTAATAAGTTACCCCTAACTCCATGTGATCTTACCTTGCCCATTAACCTTTTCTGTGGCACCTTTTATTAAATCATAGAATCCAACAGTGTGGAAACAGACCATTCAGCCCATCAAGTCCACACCGTCCCTCCGAAGAGCATCCTGCCCTGACTCATTCCCCTACCCCTGAATTTCCCCATGTCTAAGCCAACTAACCTAAATATCCCTGGACACTATGGGAAATTTAGCATGGCCAATCCAACTACCCTGCACATCTGTGGACTAGGGGAGGAAACTGGAGCACTCGGAGGAAACCCACGCTGACGTGGGGAGAATGTGCAAACTGCACACAGACATTCCACCCTCGGGTAACTTGAACCCGGGTCCCTGGCAGAGGTAGCAGTGCTAACCACTGAGCCACCGTGCCGCCCTGTCTTCTGCACTACGTCTACAGGATCCCTGTTAGCAAATTAGTTTAACATGATATACCCTTCATACAGTCTAGAGTCAGCATGGTTTTATTTTGACTTTCCAAATGTCCTGCAATTACTTCCTTAATAAAAGAGTCTAACAAATTCCTGCGACATGTATAAAAGTAACTAATCTGTAGTTTTCTCTTTTCTACCTCTCTGCTTTTTTGGATAAGGGTGTTCTCTCAGCATTTTTGCAATCAACTGAAAACCTATCTGCAAACAGGGAATTTTGGAATATTATAACCAATGAATTCACAATCTTTGCTGCCAGTGAACTGGCCAGTTACATTTCCTTTTTTTTTTTCTTTAATTTATTCCTTAACTGTCTGTCTGTCTGTTTGTGTCAGTGTGGGCTAGAATCAAAGAAGATTGGATTTAACTCAAAGATATTAATTAGATTTGCTTGTTTAACTTTGCTGTGTTAAAGCTACTGTATTAATAGTTGTTATATTAATAGTTGTTAATTCTTTGTTTAAGCTACAAACTTGGTGTCTGGTATTGATTATTCACAATGTCTGGTTAGCAACCATTGGGGTCAGCTTTGTTTTAATTAATGTTTTAATTTTACAATGGTGTGAATACAGAGATAGGGAGGCAGATTTGATTTAGCGATGTGTCTTTGTGTCATAACACAATGCTTGTCTAGTGCACAGCAGCCTTTTAAATATGTGTTCATTTTGAATTATTCTATTCAAGGCCACACGAGCTCGTGTCCATGTCCCTAGAGCACTAGTGCAGTGTTTCAGGTCACACTGCCAGGATCACCGGTGATGACTCAGAAAATCCAGATAATTTCCACAGACTCTCCTGTTTCTTCCCCTCAAAGGATTCAGGTAAGTGGCAGTATATATGTGCTAAGCTATGTATTAAGTGAACAGAATTGTTGTTTAAAAAGAGGGTTTCTCCTTGGAAACATATTCAAAAATCAAGTTGAAGTATGAATAATCTAAGTACATTTCCTAACATTCCCCTACCATGTGTCTGACGCAACGCCCTGTCTGTCCTGTCACCCTGTCTATTTGCAAATGAGCTGGAGCCAAGGGATGTATAGATATTTTCTAATCAACCTACTGACATGCAATTACACACGTCTGAAGCAGATAGGACAAGACCCTGTGTCTCCTGGCTCAGAGGTCGGGACACTACCACTGCACCACAAGAACCCCCTACAAATTGCATCCAATTTCCCCAACAAGTGGGGACAACACACTTCGCCGAGTTAATAAAGCAGTATCACTTTACTGCCCATTTTTCAAACCAGAAACCCTTTGTGTGTGAGGCGTGATAACCACTTCAGAAACCCATTACCAAGGGTTGTGTATGAGAGGTGCTTTGGATGGCAACAGATAGCTGATTGTCTGTGGACTAATGACCAGTTATTGATGACCAAGGATTTCAACCTGCCATGAGCTGTGTAATTGGTTCCCAGATAGCTGGGACAGTTTGGGGCTGTGAATGTTTTCTCAGAAACCATTGGATCTCTGTGGAGGAAAAGAAACTGTCTTTACTGTACCTGTAGGTCGCCCAGTTTATTTCTCTTTTCAGTTGCTGTAACCCGTAATGTTTAATTGATACATCAGAGACCTTTGTAAGTGTGAACGATTCACTCTTTGACTCCTGCAAACAAGTGGGAGTATCAGGAGAAACAGAACGAAGGAATAGCACATCCTAATAAACTAAAAAGGACCATCTCAGTTAACTCTCTGAATAGGGATCATTGAACTGACTTCCGAGTCTTTCCTGCTACCCATAACACCAGGTTTTTCTTGCCTGTTTGTGTCTGTCTGTATCTGTGTTTAGAGGACGGTTTACATGGGTGTTAGAGTTTCAACTAGTTAAGTTATATGACAACAGTACATAATTATTTATCTGTGGATAGCATCTTTTTATTTGCAATAAAAAGTTATTTTTGTTGTGTAACGGAGAAGGAGAGGTTAAATGAAAGTGAATATCAGGGATTTTCTTTATAAGTGACAAGGAACAATTTATTTATTTAACCCTAACAGTGAACAAATTAACAGAACTACTAACAAACCGAACAATTCCCCCCGACTCCTAACTTTTCCCTAACTGAACAAAATTCTGCTGGTATGCTATTCCAATAAACATAAGTTCCACTTACTTAACCCAAGTAATAAGAAAAAAAAACTTAGTTTGTCAAAGTCCACACAGAATGTGTCATCAGGAATGCTCTGCTTTCTCCACTGCCTCTCAAGTCATAAATGCCTTTCTTCCGTTGTTCCGGCTGTCAGGGATGTTTTCTCTGTCAAGTCTTCTGTAAGGACTCTTAGCTAGAATTGCCATGGTACCTTTCATGGATAGATGTGCATTCTTAGAGATCTTAGCGATTTTTTTTGTGAGAGCTAAATGCTTATTTCTCAGGTGGCGGTTCGCTCTCTCACTGATTTTCAAAAAGCTTCCCCTTATATACCTTGGATGACATATCAATTTTCTTACAAAAGTGTTGGTCTCAGATTGTCAAAACCATCGGATTTAAATTCAATTGGCTTTCAATCACAAAGTGCTTGGTTTAAATTAATTGGCTGATTGCAGCGTGTTGCCAAAACATCAAAACACACCTTAAGGTTTCCAATCACACAGCCAGTTGATACACGTTTCAATTTTAGAATGGGTTGTACATTTTTAACTACTTATACACTTCTTTTTGAATAAATCTCTAAGCTTAGAAAAGCATTTTACCTCATAAACCATGCACTCTTCTCCCTTATCATTTTTTTAAAACAGACATTCTAGCTTCCTGCCTTTGAATTCATGACTACTCTACACAACTTCGTAACACCTCCCCCCTTGAGAAACAAAAGAACCAGCATAATGAAAAGATGGCTTCATTTTTTAAAATCTTAATGCCATTATCATGAGATACATAGTTCAGTAATCTAAAGTTATGCCTTTCATACTAATTCTGCATACATATATAACATTGCACTGTACCGGTTCTATCTTATCTACATATTTTCTTTTAAACCCATGATGACGCATCTGTATAACATTTTCATGACCTGCAACATATAAATTATGTAAATTAAAAGCCTGTAACATAAGAGTCTGACAAAATAGTTTTGTATTCTTGTCCTTAAATCTTTCCATAAAGGTGAGAGGGTTGTGGTCCGTATACACAACCGCCTCTGAAACATTGTTTGTAACATAAACATTAAAATGTTCTAAGGTCAGTACCAAACTCAATAACTCTCTTTCAATGGTGGAGTATTTTCTCTGGTGGATGTTAAGTTTCTTTGAAAAATAATCAATTGGCCTTTCAATTCTGGTAGAATTTTGCTCAGTCCCAAAAACTGAAGCACCTCTTTCTTCGAGGATGGTCTTGTAAATTCCTTGATGACCTTTGTCGTCATGTTCTTCGGGGTCATCCTTCCATATCTGATGTTGTGTCCTAAGAATGTAACTTCTGCCTTTGTGAATTCAGTGTTTACTAAATTCATAACCAGTTTTGCTTCCCGTAGTCTTTCAAAGAGCTTTGCCAAATGCACAATGTGATCTGTCCATGAATGGCCAAAGATCACTAAGTCATCTATATAGACGGCATAACTAGTCAATCCTGCCACAACTCTGTTCAGAAGTCTTTGAAATGTGGCTGGTGCTTTTTTCTATCCAAAGGGCATTGATACAGCCCATTTGGGGTTACAAACGTGGAATCTTCTTCCGCTGTCTCTGACAAAGGTACTTGCCAGTAACCACAAAGTAAGTCCAACTTTATGACGTAAAGCTTGTCCAACCTTTTCCACACCGTCCTCCAGCCTCTGAATTGGGAATGAGTCTGATTTAGTTATGTTGTTGACTTTTGAATAATCCACACAGAATTGTTAAGTACCATCAGGTTTAGAAACCAACATGATCGGCCAACTGCACTCACTTTGACTCGGCACGATAATGTCTTCTTAGATCATCGCTTCCATTTCCTTCTGTACCTGTGCAGCTTTGAGAGGAATAAACCTGTAGGGATGTTGTTTTTATTGGAACAGCATTCCCAACTTCAGCCTCATGTACTATAATATTAGTCATTCCTATTCTATTCCTACATATGTCCTCATATACTGCACAAGCCTTTCAATTCAGTTCTCTGTTCCTGAGACAGATATCTCACTATCCTATCCCACTTTCCAAGGATTTCCTTGTTATTTAACTTATTTTGAGACACATCAAAATCCAAGTCATCTGGATTTGATTCCTCGCTCTGAGGGCCAGTTTCTAATACCTGTTTCTCCGGTTCCCTGTCCCAGTAAGGTTTCAGCATATATACATGACATAGCCAATGAAGCTTTTTCCTATCTGACATCTTTATCAGATAATTCACATGACTCAACTTATCAATCTGATAAAGATCACTAAACCTTGCTTTGAAGGGATCTCCTACTATTGTAACAGCACCAATACTTTATCCCCACTGACAAATGTATGAATTTTAGATTTCTTATCAGCTTCTTGCTTCATTAGATGCTGTACCACCTTCAGATGTTGTCTAGCTAATTCACCTACTGTGTATAATCTTTCTCTCACCTCAGATACATCATCCAACTGCGGGATCACTGACTTTGGACCTATCAACTTTTCCTTAATTAATTTTAAAGGCCCTCTTACTAGTATCCAAATATCAACTCAAATGGAGTAAACTGAGTTGAATCATTTGGGGCATCTCTAATGGCAAACAATATAAATGGGATACCTTTGTCCCAATCATTTGGGTAATCCTGGCAATAACCCCTCAGCATGGTCTTTAAGGTTTGATGCCACCTTTCCAATGCTCCCTGGGATTCAGGATGGTACGCACTTGATTTAAAGTGTTGGATGCCTAAACTATCCATGACCTCCTTAAATAGTTAGGTAGTAAAATTGGACACGTGGCCTGACTGAATCTCCCTGTGTAGCCTATAATGGGTAACGAAAGCAAGCAACTCCTCCACAATCTTTTTTGCCTTAACATTCCACAGTGGAATTGGCTCCAGAAGTCTGGAAGACTCATCCATTATGGTTAGCAAATACTGGTTTCCACTTTTTGGTTCCAGGGATGTGACCTACATGATCAATCATAACCTGCATGAAAGGTTCTTCAAATGCGGGAATTGGCATCAAAGGCACTGGTTTTATTACTGGCTGTGGCTATCCTACTATTTGACTCATATGACAGGTATGGCAAAATTCAGCCACATCCTATGTAATCCAAGCCAATGGAAATGCTTTTGTATTTTAACCAGAGTCATCCTCACTCCTAAATAACCACCTACTGGTAATTTGTGTGCTACCCGTAATACTTCCTGTTTGTATGATACTGGCAACACAATGTGGTGCACTTCTGCCCGTTTCTCCTCTGCACTAATCTGCCAAGGTCTCCATTTGCACCTTAGGATTCTGTGTTCTGCTTCCTTTTCCAAGAAGGCTTTATGATATAAATGTTTTATTGTCTCATCCTTTTGTTGTAACTCCACTAATCTATCAGAACTAAACACCTCTGCCTGATCCTCTACTTGTTCAGGTTTTTCCTTTACCATTTCATCCAACAGAGTGTCAGCTAACTGGACCAGCTAACTCCTTCGTGTCTCTCTCTTTGGTTTTGCCATCTTGCTTTAACTTATGACTGTGGGATCTTGTTACCACATGGTCTGGAAAAATTCCAGAGTATTTTTCTTTTAACCTTTCAGTTCCCTGGTTTTCCTTTGGCTTCTCTACTACAAGGGGCGTCACTCCCACCTTTGATCCTGCTGGGTCGTTTCCAAGAAGAAACTGTATACCTGGAATAGACACTCTTTCAATCACTCCCACTGTCACTTCCCCAGTCCTGATTGGACTTTCCAACCTGATC